TATCTAAATTCACATTGGATAAAAATGAAGTTTAATTAAAAAACTTTTTGTATATCTATTCACATGAAATATTGACAGATAATTATAACATCCTACTGCCATGAAAAGACTCTGAGGTGTTCAGAGCTAAGACAAAAAAAAAGACTATTTTCCCCCTTCGTCTTTGATCTGCATTTTTTGTAGCTCATTTTCTCAGTTTGACTTAGCATGTGATTTTGCTTCCTCTGCAGAGTGATATGAAGGTGTTTTAAAAAGTAATTTTGTCAGTAAACAATTTGACATTATTAGGGAAGAAAAAAAAAGAAGTATTGTGTTGTTAGCTAGAGATGGCATGGGAAGGGATAAAAATGAATTCTGGAATGACAGTCCACTTAAATATCAAAAGACCTGCTCCACCAGGTCACAGTATTTCTTTCTTTGTATGTACTCTTGCTTGGAGCATTCTGGGCTCCAGTGGTGTACAAGGGTTACTCTTTGATTCTTCTCAGCTAAACAAAATTATAAAATTATGTTCCTTTGGCTTTCATTAGAGCAAATTCACTTCTAGAATACAGTTTTCTTTCTTTATTTGGAAGTTTTTCTATAGAAAAACCTTTGGAAGCATACTTTAGTTGTCTTAATTATGCGAGTTTTTTAATAATTCTTGAGCACAAAGCTGTCAAAAGCCCACTGAACATTGCTTTTGTCCTGTTGCTTTCAAACAAGTACAATTGCAGTCAATGCAAAATGTACACTGAAATTGTTCTTGTGTAGCATTAGCCTGTCTTTTATGGTATTTAGACAAAAAAACCAGTAGGTACTGAGGGGATAGATGAATTCCTGATGAGTGTTTTTATCTGGTGAAGTCTGTCAAAATAACCTCATGTAGGAGGTTGTCCCATGTGTTGATCAGGTATGTTTATTTTTCTGCTGTTTCACTTGCCTATCAGAGTAGGGTAGACTTTTAGGAACACTGCTTGTATCCTCTGCTGTCTTTACTCTCTGCCATGCTTTAACCCCAGCCAGCAACTAAGCACCACACAGCCGCTCACTCTCTTTCTCCTCCCGCAGTGGGATGGAGGAGAGAACCGGAAGGGCAAAAGAGAAAACTTGTAGGTTGAGATAAAGATGGTTTAACATGTAAAGCAAAAGCCGCACGCGAAAGCAAAGCAAATGAAGGAATTAATTCACCACTTCCCATGGGAGGCAGGTGTTCAGCCATCTCCAGGAAAGCAGGGCTCCCTCAGGTGTAACAGTTACTTGGGAAGACAGACACCATCACTCCAAACATCTTCCCGTTCCTCCTCCTTCCCCCAGCTTTATATGCTGAGCATGATGTCAGCTGGCATCAGCTATTGCAGCTGCATCCCCTCCCAACTTCCTGTGCACCTTCAACCTACTTGCTGGCAGGGCAGAGTAAGGAGCAGAAAAGGCCTTGAGTATGTAAGCACTGCTCAGCAATAACAAAAACATTTCTGTATTATCAACACTGTTTTCAGTACAAATGCAAAACATAGCCCCATACTAGCTACTATGAAGAAAAATTAATTCTATCCCAGCCAAACCCAGCACACTGTCTTCCTCCTTTTATGCAAGGTAGTTCATAGGTGGAGGAAGCAAGGTGCAAATTATCAGCTGCATAGGCAAAGGCAGATGATAATTTACTTAATTATGTGTATATTAGAAATTTTTCTTTCTGACCCTTATTTCTACGCAGTCATGGCTCCCAAGTAATATTCCTGGTTTTTCCCCTTCTTTATAAACATATGAAATGAGCAGATATTACAGTAAAAGTTCAATTCATTTGGAGGAAGAAATAAAATTATACAAAGTGGTATGCAAAAAATTGCTTTGAAACGTAACAGGATTTTTTACATGTAGATATAACTTACCTAAATAATGTTTCACTACTGCTGCAGTAGATGACTTTGTAGACTACTCAGTTGAGTTTGCTGCTTAGTAATTGATATGGTGTATTTGCCTTTTTTTGATTTAAAGTCTTAAGTGGGTCAGTTGTGGAGATAAGTAGCTAGTGTGCAAGTGTGATTCAGGATAATCTGATTAAATTGCGAAGTATGCAAAGTAGCTTATTTGAGTTTAAAATTTCATCTCAGCAATATGGAACAAACATTTGAAATGGCTAGTTGCACTTTTGTACTTTCGTGTGTCCATTCATCCTCCAAATTGCTGGAAAACATCCCATTCCAAACAGAACCCAAAGATCTTTGATTTCACTTCAGAAATACACATACGCTTACCAGTTTCAACACAGTGTGTAGTGAAACTAAGTGGTAACACAATGTAGCTTGTGTACTGAAATATTAGATACCTTATAGAGCTGGGGCTGCACTTTGAGTTTTTGTGAGAGCGTTTATTAGTGACTTTTTAACTCTGGTAGAATGAATAGGCTCTTTCAGATAGGTAGAATTTCTAAGGGTGTTCATCAAATATAGACTTCATCTTGATAAATGTTAAACAAGTAGTAATGAGCTGAAAGGAAGACTCAAAGGAGACACTGACTGAAATTCTGTGAGGACCTGAGGAGTGGGAGGGAGGCAAACAAAATAACTGATGCTTCCCATGGTAATGTGGATTCATACCTTTTTAAAGATGCAACTAAATCATCTCTGCCAGCAGCAATTTGTTCCTGTAACTGTAATAATATACCTGAAAAGCAAATACTTTGCTTTTTGAATAGCAAAAATTGAGCCTGTTGTCTGGTAGGTTCAAAATATGAAAGAAGGGAGTCCTTAGTTAAGAAGAGATTTCTTAATTTCATTATCCCTTCCTTAATGTCTGCTGATAGCAAACTAGGCTGAGAAGGTTTATGCACTGGGTTATGTCTCTGAGAAAAATTTCATGTAAATTTCTGAATCTGAAATTCAGGTTTAGTTTTTCTTTGGAGGAAATGTAAGAGTGATTATGAATCTATAATCTTAGGCAAACTTTGACTGGGATGTATTCAAAGTGCCAGTGCTGTAGAATGAGTCTCTGTAGTGGAGTTACTTTATTTTTTATAATATAACTAAGCTATAGGTTTAAAATTAAATTACCAATTAAACACTGTTTTAAATACAAGCTAGTTCTGTGGGGGTTTTTTTTGTTTGCTTTGTTGGTTTGAATTAATGACATCTGAGGCAAAAATCCAAGATACAAGAATATGAGGTTTCTGCATTGTCTTTTGCTTTTCTCTCAATTTTTGTTCTTGTTTTTCCATTCTCTTCAGTTCACATTCACTTTCTTTTCCATGTTTTTAAAGACTGATGTTAGAAAATACATAATTTAGTATATTCTTTGAATATCCACTGTGGCTGCTGTCAAGTATGAGGTATAACAAAGACTTTTTTTTTTTTCCATGATAAAGTGAAATTTTTAGTGGGGGGAAAAAATATCCTTCATGCCGCCTTACGCTGTTTACTAAACATTATCTGTTCATGGTTGTTTGTTTTCAGTATTTGCTATACAAGATAGCTGGATTACATTACCTTTCTCATATGCTGAAGCAGTTGCAGGGCTTGTTCTTGCTTGGACATATTTTCTGCTATGTAGTGTGGTATGGTGTGGCTTTGGTTTTTTGAGGATTGGTTGGGTTTTTTTTTTTTTCATTTTGTAGAAATGTTACCATATTTGTAGCTGTGTGGATAGAAGTAGTGGTCAGAGAGATAAATTAAACTTGCTAAATATGGAGGAACAAAGTCTAGAAAAGATTTGGAGATGGTGGTAGGAGGAGAAATAGAACAATAAAAAAATTTGCAAGGAAGGTGATGAAGTGAGGAAAAATTGAAGAGGTCTACAGAAGAGAGGCAGACATTCAAAGTAATTTGGAAACAGTTACAAGTAACAAAAGTTAAAAAGTAAAAAATGAAACAAACAAGCAGGGAAAAATACAATCCACACAAAGAAAGAGTCATGTATATTTTTAATGACTAAGGCATTTGCTGAATACATAGACTTGCGATGTACTGTGAGCAACTTCCTTGTGCAGTGTGTGTGCTCTGGGTGCTGATGCACTGACACTGTTCAAGATGAGGAGCAAAGTCCCTTTACCCCTGCACAGCTTGCTTTGTATGCAGGGCTGCTACCTATAATACCTGTGTCTCTTGTGAGTGATGTGTTACTTGGAGTTTGGTGGTAACATCGTTCCTTTTTTTTGCCCTAATAGTTATATGTAAGTTTAAAATCAGTGGTTGTTGGATGTGACTTCAAATGTTTTATGTGTTTTTTCTCAGCATACTTTCATTCCTTTTCATGTCTGATATCCATGTGAACCAGATTTAAACATTTGGAGATTGAAAACCGTTATGTATCTTATCAGCAATGTTGTAGAATAATCTAAAGGTATATCTTTCTGTTGATAACTTTTTATGTTTCCGAACACATTTCATTTAGCTTGCATATTAAAGTTGCATGTTTGTCCTGAGATAAAAGTTTCTTCTGTTTCTTACTATAGTTACAATGTTACTGCCAGGACAATATTTTAGATAAATGCCATTTTGATTTAGGAAGGGAATGGACAAAACAGTATGTGGAATTAAAACAAACTCCTGAAGAAAACTACAGAGTTCTAATGTGCACCAAAGAGTGAAGGTGTTTTAATATGAATGTCAAAATAGAATACAAGCACCTGACACAGAAAGTTGAAGTTGTTTTTTTGGTGGCAGTGAGATTTTACTATGTGTGCATACACTAAATTGTTGTCTGTGTTGACCAGAGTTGTATTATTTTCCTTGAACTGCAAATTGAGTTAGATTTAATTCCCTTTTTACAACTATTTTGTAATGGGCTTTTTTGTTTAGTAGCAACAAGATACTCAGTTCCTCGTTTACGTTACTGTGTCATGTAGTCATGCAGTTTTGAGTATGATTAAAGTACTAATGAAGTGAAAATAATGCTATAAAACTCCATATATCAGATTGTTACATTCTATAGGTCTAAAATGCACAGTTCTAAAATCCAGTACATGCATGTTCTTTTACAATTGCTTTTTGTCTATTAACTGATTCTATTTTTTTTTAAATAAGAGACTCACAGGACAGCAGCAGGAGATAAACAACTTAATACAGAGAAAAATTGCTGTGGATGAGGAAAATGCCCGATTGAAGAATGAGTTCAGTAACTTGAACCAGAAATTTAAAGATAAAAGTCAAGAACTTAAGGTATACTGACTTGTACATGGTTTCATAAGACTGTAGCTTTGAAGTAGTTCTTTAAGCAGTGTCAGCCTTTGTGGCACAGAAAGTGACAAGCTTGGAGAAGAAAAATTGCCTTAGGCCTTGCTATACCTTACCATTTTCTCACATACCAACTCCGAGGAAGATGCTTTAAAGCCAAGAATCCAAGCTTTATAACTTTCAGATAAATAGTTAATGATGGAAATGGAGCAAAGAAAGTAGGAGCGTGAAGATGTGGCTTCTTGTAATTAGATTCTGGTGGGACTGGCATTATTAATTGATAAAGCCGAGGTCTGGGAGGATATGTCTGTGTGGGTCTCAAAAATAGCTGGGGACAGCATCAAAGGCAGCTTGATCAATTAATGGGCTCTTTGCAAATGTGTACTCATCAAAGCTGTCATGCAGCTAAAAAATATGACCCTTCCACCTGCATGAAAGAGGCCAATAAAAGTGCACAGGTGACCTTGGCCATCAAATATAGAAGAAGCTGCTGTGAGGGTAAAACTGCACAGTTTATATTTGCTGATTAGTTCTCACTTTTTTGTTTATCGGCCCTTATGGTACTGTTCTACAGGACACTGAGGAGTGTGCACAGAAGAAGGAAGAGCAAAACAGACTGGTTATAAAAAACCTGGAGGAGGAAAATAAGGGATTAAATACATGCTGTGCTGACCTGCTAAATGACCTGGAGAAACTGAGGAAGCAGGAGGCACAATGGAAAACAGAAAAATCTGGCAACGATGCCAGAATAAAGGTACGAAGTGGAACGGACTCCTGGATGTTATTTCAGAATTAACTTCTCCAGACATTTGCACTACAAGTTATTTTCTTTAAAAAACAAGTTATATATTCAAATCTACCAGTGGGGACTTGCATTCATTTACATTCCTTCACTTAAAACCCACAGCTTTTTAAAAATTGATGTTGCAAAGCAGGAATCTGACTTCAAATAGTCATCTTAAAATGTAATCATTAAAAAATAAAAGATACTGTATTTTAAGATAAAATATATATGTGTGTAAAATAATAAAAGCTTGAAAGTATTATCATTCACAATTTTTTCTCAATGTATAATTTACTTACCTATAATTTGATTGCAGTAGACTTGATATTTATTGTTTTGGAAGAACACTTTAAAACTTTAACTGCAGTTTTGAATAAATTGTGTCCTAGCCTCCAGAGGGCTCCACTCTGTGAGAGGCCTTATTACTGCATATAATATATTAAAAAGTTATTTTCACTGTTTACGATAAAATGAAAAAGGAAATAATTGAATACATTGTACAGAATATTGTGAATTCTTATTTAAATTATACTTTATCTTGTTTGCTGGTGAAAAATGGCAAGTTCTTTTTAAATTCCTGTAAGAAATAAGCCATGAACATGGTGTCAAAGTGTTTGGCTGCTTATATACACACCTATGTAGTGGATTCTTTTTATTTACATGGCTAATGAACACTTGCAACACTCTGCTCTTTCACACTATCAAAGTACATGACCTTCTGGTATATTCAGTGTGGTGACTGACTAACTGACATCTTGCCCAGAAGCATCTTTTTTCCTCCACTAGCAATTCAATGGTTTTGGTGACACTTCTGATTGTTGTGCTGATGGAAACCCTTTGCAAAGAGCTTCATTCAGATCTGTGAACATGGGAAGTAAAGTCCTTGCAAATTGCGGTCTTTGGAGTGGATGTGATGAAAGAATTATAGGATTCCCAGGACAACGAATGGTTTGTTGATACTTGAGGGAGAAAATCTAGAGTGTATACTAAACTGATTTAATAATTTTCAAGTTGTCAGATGTAGTGCTTGTAGTATTGCATAAATTATTGAAAATCATTGTCATCCACACCTTCAGTGAAAACAGGCAGAATAATTTTTGATGTATCTGTCTTCCTGGCTGATAAGTCATGCTGAAGAGAGGAAGGTGTGTCACAGCCATGTGATGGGAATAAGTAGTGTTGGTGTTTTGGAGTGGGGTCACAAGCAGGTCAAGATGGTGCCTAGAGCATGGCAGAGGTAACTTCTAGAAGTGGGTATTCTCTGAGCCAACCAGGAATGACACACAGCTGGATCTGCTGTTTACAAACAAGGAAGAACTGATTAAGGGGAATAATAATCAATGTCAGCCTTGGCTATAGTGACTGTGAAATTGCGAAGACCAAGATCCTGAGAAGATGAAGGAAGGAGAGTAGCACAGTACAGACCTGGAATTAAGTCTTCAGCTTGTACAGGGAGGTGGTAGGTGGAATCCCATGAGAAGCAGCGTTTAAAGATAAAAGAGTTAATGAAAATTATCAAATCTCTAAAGACAGCTTCCTCCAAGCCCAAGTGTGGTCCACCCTTATACTCAGGAAAACAAGTGGATGTATCAGGAGACCAGGTTGGCTAAGCAGCTAATACCAATCACCAACCCCAGTGGAGGATGAGGATGGAAAGCAATATTCGGGAAGTGGAAACAGTGAAAACTACAAAGGGGGAGTTCGGAAACATTGTCTGGGCACTGAAGCATGGTGGTGGCCTACCTACAGTTGAGACTTGCAAGTGATGACAGATATAACATGAGTTTCTTGCACTACTTCAGTAGTAAAAGGCTGAACAAGAAAAATGGCCTGCTGCTGAAAGGGAAGGATGAATTGGTGACAGCAGGTAATAGATACAGCAGAGGTACTGAATGTTGTCTTTGCCTCAGTCTTCTCCAACAAGATTCCCCCAAGCAGTTGTTCCTAGAGGCAGAATTCAAGGAGAAGTACTTGAGTGGATTTTTTGGGAGATAACTTGAGAGAACTTGACTAGTACACATCCATTGGACCAGCGAACTGCAACCAAGGGTGCTGAGAGAGTTGGCTGATGCCACTGTCAGGCTGCTGCCTGTCATCATTCAAAAGTAGTTTAGAGATCAGGGGAGGTCCCTAATGAAAAGGATAATCAAGGAACAAAGGTTGGTCTCACTCGAGTCCCTGGGAATATTATGAAGAAAGAAGTCTTGGAAGTAATGAGAAACTGACTAGAAACAGTCATGTATTTACCAAGAGTGAATCGTTCCTGAGCAACCTGATGTCTTTTGTGATAAAACGATTGTGTCTGTGGACAAGAGGAGAGCTTGGATGTGATTGACCTTAACTTTAGCAAGTTTTTTGATACAGTCTTGCTGTATTCTTGTACCCAAGTTAGGATGTTACAGATGGATAGGTGGACAACATGTTTAAAAGAACTGTTTGGATGTTTGGGTTCAGAGGGCTGTGGTTAGTGGGTTGTACTCTGTCTGTAGGCTGGTAATAAGTGGTGTACTGCAGGATCTATCCTGGACCTGTCTTGCTTGAAATTGTTATCAGTGACCTAGATGAAGGGACAGCAGGCATGCTTGTCAAGCCTGCAGATGACACCAGGCTGGGGGGAAGTTTATGTGCTGAGGTCTCTGCTGCCATCAAGGGGTACCTTGACAGAAATGGGCCAACAAGAGCCTTAACCGGGACAAATAATGAGCATTGCCCTAAGAAGGCAGAGCCCTGTAGCCATACAGGGGCCAGGGATCAGCTTTGGGGACAGCCCTGGGCACTGGTGGGCACTAGCAGTGCCTAGAGAGGAATGAGGCATGGTCCCGAGAGCCAGGGGAGGAATTGACCCCCTCTGCTCAGTACTTTAGATACTGCACCAATGTTTGCATGCAGTACAAGAAAGGCATCAGTAAACTGGCTGTAGGTGAGACAGTGGGGCTGGAGACCTTACCTTGTGAGAAGAGGCTGTGGGCTGGACTGCTTCAACCAGGAGAAGGGATGGCTCTGGGGCAGTGGCCATCCAACAGCATCTGTGGCACCAACAGGAGAGGATGGAGGAGATGCAGCTGGGCTTTTCACAGCTTTGCTTGGCAGAAGGGTGAGAGGCAGCACAAGCTGAAACGGGAAGAGCTGAGGCTGGAGATAAGGAGAAGCCTTTTTCCAAGGAGGACAGACCAGGAGTGGGGTTGAGGCCCATGGAGGTTGGGCCGTCTCCATCCTTAGGACATGTCAATTCCTGACTTTGTAAAACCTTGAGCAGCTTGGTCGGAAGCCCTGGCTGAACCTGCTTTAGGTAGGGGCTGTGACTAGAGACCTCCCCAGGTCCCTATCAGACTTCATGTGTCCATGGGTCTGATACCCCAGCTTCTGCCCCCCTTTATTGTTTTTTTTTTTTTTCCTCCTTCTGTGATGTGAGACAAGTGGCTATATGCTAGTGGACAGAGTTAGGTGAAGTTGATTATCACAAGAGACTATTGCAAAGATTGAGAAGCATATTACTTACCATCTGCAGGAGGGAAATGTTATATTTGACCTCTAGGAAGTAGTAATAAGTTGTCACATTTTTTATCAACATTTTGTAAAATAATAATTGATAAAAACACACAAAGTTATTTCTGTAGTTCATCACTGTTTTTAAAATATACTCTTCCTGTAAATATTTGCTTGAAAATTTAAGTTTGGTTGAGTTAATTTCTCCCTCTGTTCCTGACATTCCACATTTCTATTACTTGACACTTGAGAATCAATATTGGATGCCAGATTGGCTCTTAACAAGATGCTTGTAAACAATAAAGAATAATAATTTCCTTATCCACAGAGACCAAATACAACATTATCACACTACACGATATTGGGCTGCAGATGATGTTGTAATATATACACCCCAATATAACATGTCCCTGAAATGCTTTTAAAAAGTAATTTATGAGCAAATTCAATAATGAAATTGTGTTGTTGTTCTCAAGTGATTGTAAAAATGGTTCTAGATAAAAATAATTTGAATTTGGAAATTATATCCCGTTCTGAAAGTCAGTTCTGCCTCTCAGCCTTCAGTTTTGGAGTTGAACCAGCATCTCTTTTTGTACGTGTTTTCAGTAAAAACCACTATATTTAACAATATAGTAGATGATATTTTATACAGACAATATTCATGTTAGTCTCCTATGTCTGTGGAAGAAAAAAATGAAATCTTATCAATGTAATCTACCCCAACATTTTTCTTAAAATGTGTATTAGATGGTAGAAGTGCTAGGTCTAAGTAACAGATTCTTCTTTTGGAAAAGTGGCACTCTGTTCAGAGACTGAACTAAGTGTTAGTAGCCCTTTTTATTTTCAGTCCTTAAACCATTTTGTGTGCAGGAAAGTGTCACTTGTCACATGTAAATACTGGTTGTTTCCAGACCTACTATAAGCTGAATTGGGGTATAAAATTCACCTTTTTCAAATTGAGAGGAAAAGCTTCTATGGCTAGTTTGTCCCTTTAAGGAATACTTCTTTAACGATTTGCCATATTAGCCAAAATCTGTGTGACGCAGATTAACACGAAGAAACCTGATAAGGTGGCTAAAAGGGTGGAAATTGTCATTTACTGTTTGTCTTTCCCATATATACCTTCATATAAGTAATGCACAATGAACAAAAAGTTAACATAGGGCTTTGCTTTCTGTCTCAAAGTAGTTCTTGAGAATTATTCTTCTGTGCTTCCCAGGGTTTATGTCAGCTTTCTGTATCTCCTGAAAGAGCACAAGTGGAAAAGCTGTCAATCAGCCACCTTACGCATGGATGTGTCTCCATATTTAAGAACGAATTAGGCGTTGTTCTTTGGTTGGAGGTTACTTAAGTTATTGTTTAATAATAATGTATATTTTCCCAAACTCGACAGTCACAGGTGGTTTTGTATGTAGACACAAAAAAAGTCAGACTGGCAGATTTTAAGTGGACCTGACCTAAAAGATAGTGGAATTGCTTACTGTTTTGTTTTGTTTTGGTTTTTTTTTTTAGTTGGCAAAGTACTTTTTCAAGTTCCTAAAGTCTGAAGGTGGAGGCTTTTAAAGAAAGAGGGAGAAGTTTTTTTTTTTTCCCTTTTAAAATGAAACATTTTGAGAAACAGCCATCTCTCGTCAAGAGGAGCCTGGGATTTTAGTTCCACTGAAAAATGAGAGTCTTATTGAGATGGGACCTTAAAAAAATGGTCTCACTTCTGTCTTAATACATAGCAAGAAAAAACATGAAAATAAAGACATTGTATTTGAAATGAAAATAAAGACATTGTATTTGAAATGTGATGATCTAAGGGTTTGAAGCTACAAGTAACAAAACCTTAGTGTTAATTCACAGTGGGTCCATAATCTGTGCACAACTCTGCTGCCAAATGCCTTGTCTGTGTGTTATGCTTTTCATGTTTCAAGTTCTTTTAAATTCACCTTTTCTCTGATTTTTCTGAGTTTATAGTTCCTGGGCTTGAAGTGATTAAAATATTCCTGTAATGTTTTACCTTAAATTATTATTCTGCTATTTATCTTAATTTTATTTTGGTTAGGATCACCATGTTTCATGCTTAGAAATAATCACTATACTTATTTTTCGTGCTTCACTTTCAGTTATAAAGAAGTATCATATCTTTTAACATGTCTTGTAGTTTTCTCTAAAATAAGCATTTTCTTCCTCATATAACTGAATTATTTAGATATTTTGACTTACTGAATTTTAAATAGTACTTACTTTGCTTTTATATGTTTTAAAACATTGAATTCTAAACAGTCCGTATGTACAATTGAAATTAGTTTTAATTTGAAAATCAGGTTTGGGAGAATTTATATTTAGCAAACTTTCAGTTTGCATGTTTATACCATGAAACTACCTTCTTGGCTACTGTATCAACTAAAAAGCAACATAATAAATTCCGTGTGATTTTAAAAAATGGAGGTACTCAGACATTGAGTGTAAAAGATTATAGATTATTTCATATTCTTGGATTTCTGATTTACGTACAAAAGCTCTACTGAATGCCTCAATATATGATATTTCAGCATATAAGCTGTTTGTATAACCAGTCCCTCCTTGCCCCTTTTTTCATGTTTTGCCCTTTTAGTAATGATTCTGATTTCCAAATAAAGTCAAGGTTTCAAAATCTATTCAAAAGTTTGAACTGATTAATTTGTTATTTGAAATAAAAATTTGAAGTCAACATTTGTCACAAATAGGGTGAAGTACTGAAAGATACTTTTTTCTATTTTTAAATTTTGCTATTCTGTAACTTCTGAAGTTGTATTTATGACAAAATCATTTGTTACCTATACTTTGTATTGTACCCTGCAATGGGTGATGGGAACTTAAGCATTGGTAAGATGAGATTTTTTTTTAATCTCTACCATGAAAAACCTCTGCAACTGTATAGTGTGCTGTGAAAGATAGGCAAATAGGATTTATTCACAGAAAATGTGAACAATTATGATTTTTGTTCACATATACAATAACTTCTAGCTGCTATGGAAAAAAAAAAAACCACTGAGGAGAAACCCTAAGATTATTTGGCTGCAAGTTATAAATACCTTTTTACACTTTAGACTGGTGTTAGGAAAAATTTCTTTACTGAGAGAGTCATCAAACATTGTCATGACAATTGACATTCCAATGTCAAACACTGGAACAAGCTGCCCAGGGAGGTGGTAGAGTCCCCATCACTGGAAGTGTTCAAAAAACGGGTAGATGTGGCACTTCAGGACATGGTTTAGTGGGCATGCTGGTGTTGGGTTGATGGTTGGACTTGATGATCTTAAAGGTCTTTTCCAACCTTAATTATTCAGAATGAACTGTCTCCTATCGTTCTGAAATTTATTGTTACCTGAGAAAAAACAATTTTTGCTACCCAGCCATGAGATTGAATGATGACTCATTAGTCAGGTACACCAGGTATATTTCCTGAGATTTATCATAAATAGTTTTTCAACCTCATTCACTCATGAATTTTGCTGTTTCCTCACATTATTTTTACTGTTATTAACAGGACACGATAATGATTGTCTATATTGAAAGAATTTGATTGTAGTACACTTCTGATACATCCAAATATGTTTAAGACATTTTAATGCTATTTTAAAGAGAGACAATTAATTACACACTTTTCAGTTATAAAAATGTTTTGATACCTTCAATATTTGAGGCATCTTTGCTGAAAGGGAAGAATGTGCATTTATTTCTTTTAATTAAGTCTGTGTGTAAATGGAAGATAAACTAATATACTGTTATCAGTAGATTAGGGATGCTATCCTGCTAGGAAGTATTTTTTTAAAATTATTGATGAATCCTGGAATATTTGCCTTACTGAGAACAAGTGATTGTGTCTGAGTAGCATAATACCAAAGCAGGTCTAAGGCCATTAACACCCTCTGAAACTCTGCTCTAGATATTGATGTAATATTTCTGTTCCCATTCTTGCCTCAAAACACTCTGGGAGAATAGTCATACGAAGCTTCTTAAAGATTGAAGTACTCTTCTAAGCTGCTAAACCTCCAGAGAACTCTAGTAAGGTCACTATGTAGAGATTGAAATCTTGCTTGAATAAGCTGCCTTGCTGCTGTATTTCCCAGATATACCTTCACACTTTGCTGACTAACTGCTATAGTAAGGCTTACTCTAGGCAAACTACAAAAAGGTAAACTATTGCTTGTTTACATTGTTTTCTACAAGCATTTCTGGAACTTTTCTTGTATGCTACTTTTTTTTCCTGAAGAAAGTATTCCTTGCACTGAATTAGAAGGGCAAAATCAGAGCAGATTTAACAAGCAGTCTCAAAAGTGAATCTGTATCCATGATTCTTAGTTCATGTGTGCAATTTTTTGCAATTTTTGGAGAACTTAATGAATGTAGAGCTGCTTTTTGTTAGGAGTAGGTTTTTTCTGTTTGATTTCTACACAGAAAACAAGGTTAATCAGTAGTTAGTGTACTATTGCTTTGCAAGTGTTAGATTTAGGATTCCCCTTCCACATGCAGCAAACAAATGAATTAAGGAAAACTTCCTACAGTAAAGAATAAGTGGCCACCTAAAATTTGAAATAGACCTTTTTTCCTGGTATTTCACATTTTTTGTGTACACACACATGCACATATACCTATACATATTTGCTTAGCCCACAATAAATATAGGCATGTTTGTATGTGCACTTCTGTATGTCTGTGTACACAGATAACACACATAGTAGATTTTAACTCTTTCTTCACACATTATCTTTCTTTGCAGAATTTGGAAACTGATTTGGCAGAGGCAAGAGAACAAATGAAAGAATTGCACAGTATATGCCGTAACTTGTCATCTCAGGTAGCTGTGAAACAGGAGGAACTCTCCCAAAGGGATTGTGATGTGATCAGAACTAAGTAAGTATTTTGTGATTTCATTACCTTTAACTCTGAATCTTCTCGAAAAGACTACTGCTCCACTTAAAAAGCAGTATCTTGCATTAGAGGTATTTTTGTGTAACAGTGTATTTTCATACCGTTCTGTTCCACGAGATGTAAAGCTTTTGGAAGTATACCAGTAGATTTTGACTCTTAGTATATTGTTATCTGTTTTTAAGTAGGGTTGGACTTCAAAAATTACGTTTTTGTAATTAGCATTGGGTCAGAGAACTACCAGTCTCCACTGAACCTAACAAAATACCAAATGATTAGTGACATAAACATTTAATTGGAGAGGCCAAATGCCCTAAACTTAGGAAAACTTTAAGCCTAACTTTAACTTTTTAATTAGAGTCAAATCTGACAAGTCAGCAAAAGTCTGCATAGGCCTGTGCTAAAGGTTTAAAGTGCAGTGATTTAAGCTTTATCTTAAGTCTCACACAACGTTTCTTTACACTGAATCTGTAAGATTAGTGTGGCATTATTTGAGTCGTGGAAAAGAAGTGAAGAATGGAATGAATTATATAAATTGACTAGACTGCTGAATTCCTCAAAATTAAGGTAATGGTGAAAGACAATTGGTTACTTTAAGTGGATTGTCAGGAAATTGTGCATTTTTCACTGCTTACTTTGAGACATACGCAGTGTTTATCACCCCTGCGTTAGACAAGTAATACTCCCTTCGATATTCCCTCAAACTGTGGTTATGCCTGAAGAGATGTAGTTGGGATGCAGAAATAATTGGTATAAACAGTCTTTGCTTTCCAAGCAGAAATAATTTTTCTGTAAGGAGTCAGTACCTAAGTCTTTTTGGGAAAAAACTAGTAATATGATTTTTCATGCCTTTGACCTAAATTGTCACCCTAGTATTTGTTGAAATCTTTACAGGAAAAATGATATCTTGTTATTTTCATAGCTAAAATGGTTGGGTTTTCAAAAGTCGATAAAAATAGGCAAGTTTAATGGGAAATGGTATTGAAAGAGGCAAAGACTGGAATTTGTGAAACTCATCAATGGAGTAATAAGCTTTATTATTTTCTGAAATTATTCTCGGAAGTATATATGTGTGTGAGAGGACTAGCAACAGCCATGAATAAATTGTTAAAGTCAGGTAATGAAGCTTGTTAATTTCAGTTTAGGATGTTGCAGACTGAGTTGGCCAAACCATTGAACTTAATGCTGTTCACTGCAAAACAATGTCTTAGAATTTGTTACAGACTTTTCATTTAAATATGTACTTAAATACTTTTTTTGAACATAAGGTCTGAACTTCAGGTAACAAAAGATGGACAACATACTTATTTTGAAGTGATTGAAGTCTTTTTCTGTATTTTTTTACATACAGCCAACCTTCTAAATTTATGGAAAAGTCATATGTTTTTCTGTGTGCTCAAATGGTTTCCTTCCTGGATACTTAAATGGTATTGTGATGAATTATAATATTTTTCCATATCACTAGTATGTGAGTTATACTTGACATGTTATATAAGTATATATTTGATCAGTATTATTGTAATTCAATGTCTGCTAATCTTTCTTAATGAACTGCCTTTGGCTACAAGTTTCTTGTTGACATTTCTGTTAAGGGAAAAGAAGGATTATACTAAATGTCTTATATAGAACTCACAGTTTCAGGCAGCAAGCGGTTTCAGTAGTTAGCAACACAAACTAAGAATTTCAAATATTCTGTATTTTTGTAGAACAGGATACAGAAGTTTCTCCTTACTTTCCAAGGTGTCAGTACATAGATAAAACTATTTTTCTGTTTGTTCTTAATGAAAAAAAAGTCAAAATAATAAAAGTCTATGTAGACAAAAGCCAAACTTTTACTTAAGGTAAAGAAAGTAACAGCTCCAGAATTAACGGAAAAAATCTGAGGAGAAAATAAAGTCTTTATATCTTCTCTTCTTCCGAGGCCAAGATCTTACAGCGGTGTTGACTTCATGATTGAAGCATATGGTTGTTCCTTTTTTTTTAACTGATAATTTTTGTTTTAGTTATCCTTGTTTAAATCTTGGTCTTATAAAAATGTGTCATTGAATGCTCAGTTCTCATCTAGTGCTGTCAGAAAACTCGTTGACAAATAGTGTGGATAAGACCCCTTCTCCTGTACTATCTCCAGTTTCCCATTGCCAATTTCAAACTTTTGGAGCTGAAAAAGACAATCTGATTTGCAAACCTCTCTGTTCTCCCCACTGTTCCGTCTCTCTCCCTATCTGCTGCCTGCCTGCCTTTCCTACTCTTCCCTTTTTTGAAAACAGACCAGGGCCACAGTTGTAATTACTAGAAACAAGCTCTGGAAGAAGAAAGGAAGGAAACTGTCTTCCTTCATTTGGTGTCTTCTTTCATATACAGTATAGGCAGATCCAGCTGACACATTGGTAATACTGTCTGAAATTTTTACAGTAGATGCTAAAATCAATGGGAAAAGGAAGTCTCTGAAGGTCCATGCACAAACTGGTCTGGTGCTCTGTTTCTTGTGCAGTCATAACTTCTTGCTCTGTTCTGCATATCTGTCAGTTTGTTAGCAAGAGTTTTTTCCAATTTAACAGTAACTATGTCTGTAGACACTAAAAAAACTTTTTGTTAAGGGGCGGTTTTTTTCAGCAAATTAACAGGGACCAAAATTTTGAAGAAGTACTCCAGTCTAACTCTGGTCCATCAGAATAGCAGGTGTTTTTGAAAATCCCACCCAGTGTCAGTAATCTGTCACATACTTTGAGGTGTGAAAGATAAATTTTCTAAGCTCAGTGAACAGACAGTACTTACAGGATCCATCCTGCACAGCAGATGTCTTCAAGAAGCCACCACCTTTCTTTGCTGGCTTTATTTTTGCAAAGCACTCTTGTTCTCACTGAGTTTAATTTCAAACTCCTGAAGTAGCCATGAAATGCATTTCCTTGTTATATTTTTCATGTTCACATTCAGTACAGATTTTCCAGATCTATTTAGAATCCTTGGTAGGCTTTCCATTTTCATGTTCTTAAAGAATGTTAAATCTTGTGGTTTGTTTCTGAAGATTAACTCCAATGCATCTGTGCAATTTCTGTTTTAAAAATATGCAAAATATGAGGATGTAGAGCTTTGTGTTTACTGCTGAGCACTCGGAGTCTCACTGGCACAGAGCTCTGGTGGAACTCTGAGTGTCAAACTGGAGAGGTCTGCTTGATTCACTGAGACTTGAGTCTTGCTGTCACAGGTATCCAGGAAATATTAAACTGTTTGTGAATATAGTAAGCTCTATGCTAAAATGAATTAGAATTTTTTGCCCCTGTGTTTTTACTGGCAGTGTGTGCCAGGACTTCGTTCTTTTGATTACTTTCTAGCCCAAATCTATACCTGATAATTTTCTTTTGTAACAATAATTGCCGTTTTTTATTTTGCCCCTTCCCCCTACTGCTGTTGCTGTTCACCTCCATGCTGTAAATTATGAGGCATTTGGATTTCTACTCAGCCCTTGTTTTGCTGCTCTGGGATTTTCAGGTTATTCTTTGCTGTGTGTTGTAAACCATTTCATAGTATCTATGTCATTCCCCTGATAAGCCATAATTCATAATGCCTGTCACTGTGTTGTATTTCTAAACTACACGTAATGGAATCTAGAGATTTCCTGAATTACCCCAAACCTGCTTATATTCCCTTGGTAACAGGAGTAGCTGAGGTGCTCAGAATCCCAGCGTATGCACCAAAACTGTAGTGGTAAAACAAAGCCAACAACATCACCTGAAGTGGTGGGTGTGATGAGCATTAACTCTATTTGCAGCACCGTTTTATAGCTTCTGGAGTGACAGTAGCTACTCATTTCATTTACATCTCTGGGAAGCCACAGTTTACTTTTAACCTGTTGGTATGTGCAGGACATAAAGATTTTATTTAATATTATCCTCTAAGGATAGGAGGAAACTTCAGTTCACACTCTTGTCAGATATGAGCAGCAGAGGTATCTCTACCTTAAACAATAGTATGAATTTTAAGTATTGCTACTGGCAGGACAAGTTGTCAAATCTTTGAGTCTTGATGCAGTTTGTAAAGTCTTCATGTAGTGTTAGCCTTGCAATGTTTAGAGCAAAATCTCTTAAGGTTATTGTCATCTTACTTTAGTGGCCAAAAGAATTTAGTTACGCTCTTCTATTTTGACTTGAGAAAAACCTGACCTTTTTCATACCAGGCTTGTCCTTGTGACTTGAGGAGTGTAGCTCACTTTCTATAAATTTCTTGGTTTCCCATTGTATTGTTCTTGAGGTGTTAGATCAGAGATAGAGAGGTGTTTGGTTTTTTTCTCAGTAATATCTGGTGACCTCAATGTTAAATGTAGTTAAATACTCTCGATGTATCATGGTGTGTTTGTTTATGGGGAGGATGGCATGGTGGGGAAAAAAGTAGACCTAGTAGGTGTTTCAATTTTGGTGCTTAACTGGGAGAATATTGGGTTTTTTTATTAGTGTTGCTGATGGTGACTTTTTTCTTGAATTTTTGTTTGTGTTTGCTTAGAGCATACAGTATGTTGAAACATTTTATCAATATATCTTTATATTTGTATACAAAAATCCTACTTGCATGCATACATGTACACATCCACATATTTATATATTCTGTGTGTCTCTATGTACATACAGATGGTTTTGTATATAGGCACATAAATTTTAAATGCCACTCACTACCTATTTTACATACAATTTGCAATTTTTTATTATTTCCTCTGTTACATGCTCAGCTGAGGGTATCATTTTACTTAGGACTTGACGTCCTTATCCTGCTGCAGTGACTGGCAGGTGTCTCTTTTGTAGAGTACTTAGTAGTTTGCGGATTTGAGTAAGCATAATAATAGATACTTTGATGAGAAATTCATTTTTATCTTTTAACTTTTTCTGATTATCATGGGGTTGATTTTTGTATACTCTCTTTGAATACACTGCAATCAAATTAGTGACAGAATCACACAGAACCACTGAGTGGCTGAGGCTGGCAGACACCTCTGG